GTAAATGATCTTGAGAGCTTAGAGATTAAAATTTCTGATGAAGACCAGGCTATACAGATTCTGACCGGTCTACCTCCTAAGTTTGAACCATTGGTGCACACTCTAAAGTACGGCAGTGGGAAGGATACGCTTACAGTAAATGATGTTATATCTGCAGCATACTCAAAAGAAACCGAGCTAAGGGAGAAAGGTTCTCTTGGAAAGAGTAAGTCGGATGCTGAAGGATTGTACGCAGGGGACCGGGGAAGATCTAAAAAGAGAGGAAGCTACTCAAGAGGAAGGTCTAAGTCTAGAGGTAAAGATTACTCCAAGTCTAAGTCCAGTAAGAACAACAAAGGTTGTTTCATCTGTGGTAAAGAAGGACATTGGAAGAGGGAGTGTCCCGATAAGGGAAAGTTTAAAGGTTCTAACTCTAGCTCAGTGAATGTTGCATCAGCTAAAGGCACTAAGAAAGAACCTTTAATTCTTACTGCGAGTATCCAAGACACTCGAGATGAGTGGGTTTTGGATTCAGGAGCAAGCTTTCATATTACTCCAAATAAAGAGGTGTTGTTTGATCTTAAGGAAGCTAGCGGAGGGAAAGTTCTGATGGGAAACAATACGTTCAGTGAGATAGAGGGAGTTAGAAAGGTGCGTATCAAGAAGAAAGATGGCTCTATAGTGATTCTTACTGATGTAAGGTTCATGCCTACAATGGGTAGAAACTTGATATCGTATGGAAGTTTAGAGAAGGCTGGTTGCACTTACGAAGGAGGTGGATACAAAGTTAAGTTCTTCAAGAATGGAAAGGAAGTTCTAACGGGAAAGTATTCAGATGGTCTGTATTACTTGGAAGGATCTGTTCTAAAGGGTGAGAGTCATTCAGCAGCTCCTAAAGTCAGTACGACAAAGAAGTGGCATTCTAGGTTGGGACATATAAGTCAGAAAGGTCTTGACTTACTTGTTAAAGAAGGATATCTAGAAACCAAAGACATTGACAAGCTAGGGTTCTGTGAAGACTGCGTGTTAGGCAAGGCACATAAACAGAGCTTTAAGAAAGGAAATCATACGTCTAAGGAAATTCTGGACTATGTTCATTCAGACCTATGGGGAGCTCCTACGGTAGTTCCAAGTTTGGCTGAGAAACAATACTTCATTACGTTCATTGATGATTATTCTAGGAAGGTCTGGATCTATTTTCTAAAAACCAAGGATGAAGCTTTTGACATATTCAAGGAATGGAAAGTAGAGGTTGAAACTCAGACTGGGAAGAAGCTGAAATGTTTGAGAACAAATAATGGGTTGGAGTATTGTAACAGAAGGTTTGATGAGTTCTGTAAAGCTACAGGAGTTAAGAGACATCGCACATGTGCTTATACACCGCAACAGAACGGGGTTTCAGAAAGGATGAATCGGACTATCATGGAAAGGGTTAGGTGTATGTTGGCTGAGAGTGGTATGGAGGAAAGGTTATGGGCTGAAGCGGCTTCTACTGCGGTCTACTTAATCAACAGGTCACCTAGTTCTGCTATTGAGTATTTGCTACCAGAAGAGTTGTGGTCAGGTTCTAAACCAGGTATTAAGCATCTGAGGAGGTTTGGTTCAGCTACTTATGTTCACAAGGTTGGGGCAAAGACAAGTGCTAGAGCTGTTAAAGGTTTCTTCGTTGGTTATCCTCAAGGGACAAAGGGTTTCAGGGTCTGGTTACCAGAAGAAGGTAAGTGTACTATTAGCAAAAATGTTATTTTTCATGAGGAAGAAGTCTACAAAGATTCACAGAAAGAGACAGATTCAGGGGAAGTTAAGAGTGGTCTGACTAGTGCTGATAAAGGGAAGAGTATAGAAAGAGAGAAGAAGAAGCGGGTTACGTTCAGTCCTAATCTGATTAAGGGTCCATCTAAAGGGTTGAATGATTCAGAGGCTTCTACTTCGGGGGTTTCAACTCAGACAGGAAGTTCAGATTCAGGTGGAGCAGAGACTGATTCAGAGGAAGAGGTATCTGAACCAGAGGTTGGAGTTGAACAAGATTTGGATCACTACATATTGGCTAGAGACAGAGCTCGCAGAGAGATAAAGCAGCCATCCAAATATGATGACTTTGATGTTGTAGCTTATGCTCTATCTGCGGCGAGTGATATTCAAGTTGATGAACCTAAATCCTATCAGGAAGCTATGAGGTCTAAAGAGAGTAAGCAGTGGAGATCTGCCAGTGAAGAAGAAATGGATTCGCTTGAGAAGAATGAGACGTGGAAACTGGTGAAGAGACCTACTAAGAAAAGAGTTATAGGTTGCAAGTGGGTTTACAAAAGAAAGCCAGGAATTCCAGGAGTTGAGGATCCGCGGTTTAAGGGCAGATTGGTTGCTAAGGGCTACTCACAGGTTGAAGGCATAGACTACAATGAAGTGTTTGCTCCAGTTGTAAAACATGTTTCTATCAGGTTCATCTTATCTCTAGTGGTTAATGAGGATCTACATCTGGAACAGCTAGATGTTAAAACAGCTTTCTTAAATGGAACTCTAGAGGAAGAAATCTACATGGAACAGCCTGAAGGATTTGTCACTAAAGGAAAAGAGGATTGGGTTTGTCTACTAAAGAGGTCTCTATATAGTCTTAAACAGTCTTCAAGGCAGTGGAATAAACGGTTTGATGGGTTCATAAAGGAACAGGGTTTCAGAAGAAGTCCTTATGATCAGTGTGTCTACATTAGTGGGACCGAAATGTCTTCAAGGGTTTATCTACTGTTATACGTTGATGACATGTTGGTGGTATCTAAGGATATGGAAGTGATCAAGGAACTTAAAGCTAGATTGAGTAGTGAGTTCGAGATGAAGGATCTTGGAGCTGCTACGAGAATTCTAGGAATGGATATAATCAGGAGCAGGAAAGATGGTACTTTGAAGTTGTCTCAGGGAAAATACCTTGAACAGGTACTCTCAACCTTCAACATGACTGATTGTAAAGCTGTAACTACTCCTATGGGAACTCAATTCAGATTGAAGAGTCTAGATGAGAATGAAGCTAAGATAGAGGCAAATTTCATGGTCGACGTTCCATACGCAAGCGCTGTGGGAAGTTTAATGTACGCAATGGTAGGAACTCGTCCAGATATTGCTCATGTTGTTGGAGTTGTTAGCAGATTTATGAGAAATCCCGGAAGAGAACACCGGGAAGCTGTGAAGTGGGTGTTGAGGTATATTAAAGGAACTACAGACTATGGTTTGTGGTTTACTAAGGGTGCAGAGTTCAAGGTGGAGGGTTATTGCGATGCAGATTTTGCATCTGATCGAGACAGGAGCAGGCAGTTACTGGTTATCTGTTTCAAGTAGGCGGCAACACTATTAGTTGGAGGTCAGGGCTCCAACCAATTGTGGCACTATCAACTACTGAATCAGAGTATATATCGTTAACTGAAGGGGATAAAGAAGCGTTATGGCTTAAAGGTGTTTGCGAAGATTTAAAATTTGAGCAAGGGGCAGTTAAGGTTAATTGCGATTCTCAGTCTGCAATATTTCTAGCAAAGAATGGTGGATTTCACGAAAGAACTAAACATATTCACAGGAAGTTCAATTTTATCAGGGATGTTATTGCAGATGGTAGTGTTTCAGTTCAGAAGACTCACACTAGCCTAAACCTAGCCGATATCCTAACGAAGTGTGTACCTGGAAAGACATTGGAGAAGGCTCTGGTGTCTATCAAGGTCTGCAGATAAGTTCTTTGGATGATGGCTGTTGAGGGTGTTTCCGATTCGTTACCTCGCAGCAAGAATCAGAGTAACAGTGGGTTAGTCAAAGTGGTTTTGAGTTAATCTACTGGAATGAATCGGAAGTGAATGAGTAAATGTTGAAGTCGTTACCTTAGTTGCAGGTCAGAGGCAGAGCTGCGAGTCAGAAGGTAAATTTCTGTTTGTCGGTTGAAGTGGTTGAGTTCTTCTTGGTCTCACAAAGAAGGAAAGAACAGACAGAAGGTTAATAAAGACATGCAGAGTAAAGGAAGTTTTTTTGGAATACGGATTAGAAAAAAGGTTTACCTTGAGATCTTGGTTCTGGTTTTTTCCTGAAAAAAAACGGTTTGATCAGTATTCTTAAGGAGGTTTAGATCTATTGAGGAAGTCGAAAGGGTTCGACATGCATGCACAGATCTGAGACTGTTACCTGAGATTCAGTTACAGAGTTGATCAGATCGGAGATTCGTCGGCGTCTGGGAGGTCAGATGAGATGAGAACAGGTTTGGCTTGAGTCGAGTTCAGAGGGTTCGTCGATTCGGCTGATCTACGGTTAACGTCGGTCGGGGCTTTGAGAAGATGGGGTTATCTTCAAGGTAGAGGAGTTTCAGAGACTTTCGTCGGTCGAGGTGACCGGAAAGTTAGAGAGAAGACAAAGCTTTTAGAGAGAGAGAAGGGAAGACATTTCGGCAGAGCTTCGCTAGGGTTAAGTTGCTGTCGGAGAAAACAAGAGTTGTGTCGGATTTATACAAGGTGGAGATTTGTGGGCCTTAGTGTAAAACCTGATCCAACTCTGATGGTCCTGTGAAAATTGCTGAGCCCGTTAAGCTGATTAAATGAGTACGACATCGTATTGTCAGTTACGAGAATATATACTTCGTCGTCTTCCTCTTGAGAGCAGTGTTGAGAGTAACAGAGTCTTCTGATCATCTTCTCCGGTGAATTCTCTGGTGAGTGCTGAGTTGCAGAGGTGCTTTCCAGTGTCTCCGTGTGTGAGAGTTATTCGCCGTAGTTCTAATCGTGTTCCTGAAAGATCAAGAATCGAAGTTAGTGTTTGATAGATTCTTGAACGAGCTTGTATTGTATTCTGTGATATAAGCTTAGTGGATTGGGAGCAAGAGTCTCCCCCCAGATGTAGCGTAAGCGAACTGGGTAAACAAACTCCCTTCGCATTTTCTCTTTCAATTGCTTAAACAACAATCAACAAATCGAATCGTTGGAAAGTGTTATCGAGATCAAAACATAACACCTTCAAAAAGATAATCAAACTTGAGGTCGCTGTTGTGTGCTGTTGAAGCGATGGAAGATCTGAGACACAGGAAAATCCTGTTTGAAGCATGGTCGGTGGAGGTAAGACAAGCCCTCTTGGACCCTCAAGGATTCCCTGATCTCACTCCCTTGATTCTTAAACTTCTTGAGCTATTGAATCGCTTTGAGGATTGGTCTATAATTCATGTATCTGACCGGAAGAATAGTTTAGCGACTGATATCGTAGAGAGCATCACCTCTGACTTTTGTACGCAGTTATATGTTGCCTCTGGAGGTCCTTGCTGGCTCCAACTGATGTTTAACCAGGAAGCTGGAAACCTTTGATGCTGTTATTTCCCTGCCTGAGGGGATGTTGCTTGCGTCACAAGTAATTGTCACGCTAGCCCTGGTGTTCTCCCCTTGTTATCAGCCCTATTTTAAATTTCGCAAGTACCTACGGGTACTTAGTCCTCTTTTTGATTGTTTTTAATCATTAAGCATGTATGAGTTGGGTTTATCCCAAACTGTTTGTCCTTTTGGACTTTTCATTATAGAATATTCAGTGTTAGAAAAAAAAAAGATGTAAACGGTGGAAGGACACTGCACATGATGCTCTTGACCTGCGTGAACAAGCTCAGTTGAGTTTCCTTAAGTAACAAGGTTTCCTTATAATATTTCTCTGTTATGTAAAAGCCCAATGTATCATCTGGACTTGTGTATAAACCTTGAAAACCAAGCCACACAAGTTTTTTTTAATATTGTTTCTAGGTTATTGCGCCGCTGGGAGCTGCTCGGGGTTTAGGTTATGGAGTACATACTAGCCACAACGGACAGAAAGGTAGATGATCTTATCTTTTTGGGGATTAGATGGTCCATGCTTCCGTAGTACTTCCGTAGATGGTCGTTTTGGCTTACTCTATTTTAATAACATGGTTGATTGTATATGAATGTGGTTGTAGGAAAACAGTGCAGCGTATGAGTTTGTAAGGGGAGCACGGAACATGGTTTGAATTTCTAAAATTTTACGACCCAAGAAACGCATATTTATTTCATCCCGATTCACGATCAGACCCTACCTTGATCCAATTCCTTACTTCAATAAACAAGAAAGACGATTCGAGGGTAAAATTGTTTATTCAAAATTACTTATTTTTTGGACCGTCTTGATTTTTTTTTTTTGGTTCCCAGAAATTAGCTTTGCTTTTGAATCCCAGCCGTCCTCTGGTTTGCGACTACTCATACAAATACCCAAACGAGACAGCTGAGCAGGTTTGTCTTCTTTTTTCCTTTTTGAGTACTTTTCATCAACTCTCTCTCGCTTTATATATTTACGTGGCAGAGACTGGTTCGAAAGACTCTTACACATGACGAGTACCCATTCGACTTTTTGATCCGGTATAACCCCAAGGACTGGGTCCTTAGAGCAAGAATCTTCGTGGGACAAAATAAAATCCTTAAAATATTTTTTTTTTCTTTTTCTGTTTAAAAAATAATGAATCAGTGGTAGACCACTATGTGTCGTGGGGTCCACAAACAGAGCAAAGGATACAACAATGACAATTCTTATCTCAGAATTTTCTCACTTTGTCATTTTTTGGTTTTGGCAATTTGTGGTCCCCTCCACCCAAGGACTCAGTTTGGACTAACAATATTGATGCTCTTCATGTAAGATTATTGGGGGTCTTTACTCTTGGGTCCTTAATACACATATATATGTATGTATATATTATATATGCGTATATAATATATAAATATATGTATATTAAGGACCCAAGAACAAGGACCCCCAATAATCTTGCTCTTACGGGGATCAAAGGGGGCCCACTTCGTGTCCCTATTAGCTGTTTTGCACCAATTATTCAGTATTTTTCCGCTCAACAAAGCCTTTCGATATTGCCATTACCAAATCCGAGATAATCGCCCTTTGTTGCGAGAAGATTCTCTATAAAGATAACACTGAAGCTGCTGTTAGAGTTGATGCTGTTGACCGCAATTTCAAGGTTTCTTTCCCTTTTATTATCTTGAGAATCTTTCCTTTCTTTTCTCTAATATAGATAATAATTCATCAAACTCAACTAGGTGATTCTTGATGAGCTTGTGAAACCAAATCAAGCTAGTTATTAACTACAGGACTAGTATTACCGGACTCGTTTCTCGTGCTCTTCATTTATCAAATGCTACTTCTCTGGCAGATACACAGGTAAGACGTTTCGTATTTAAACTGCCTTTTTTTTGTTTTGGCCGGTCATCATCTAGTGTTTGATTTTCCTCAGGAAATATTTCTCGGATTATTTCCGACCTAAACTATAATGGTCGGTCACCTTTTGAACAGGGATCTCAAAGGTAACTTAGTATAATACATCTCTTCTTAGTATCAAAACTCCTACTGACGTTACTGTTGGCAGAATTGAAGATGGATCATGCAAGAGTTATTGATACCTCACTTTTGTTCAAGTATGATTTCTCTGAAAGTATCGGAAAGGTTCCAATGCCCACTTTAGATCATCTCTGCAAGTCTGTTTTGGGATATGAAATGCAGAAATCTCTGGGCAGATGTGTTCATGAAGCTGTAGCTACAATGAAACTTGTGCGTGCTATATTGGAGCACGGCGCAGACACCTCTGTTCCACTACCTGATGAGGTAAAAGGCTGTGGAAAACTTTTTTTCTTATTACTTCCATCTAAATTTCAGTGGAAAATAAAAACATAATTCTCTCTCTGTCTCTGCTACGTAGATGTTGAAAACGGATGAGTCAAGACTCGTTCCAAAGAAGAAGAAAGGATGATAAGAAAAAACCGAGAGGCAAGATTCAACAAGTGAAACACAAACTCAAAGAATAAGTTTATGGCAGCTTCAAATGTCTCCATGGCTTGTTTGTGATGATGCGCTTTCACTATCGCTTAAGTTAGAAGGATTTAGATTATTAAGGCTTTTCTTACCATTACTTAATCTAATACTATTAAAAGGTGAAATTGATTATCCGTAGACTCTCTGTTTCTTTGCTTCTTGCACCTCTATCCTCATATGATATACCAAAAAATCATCATCAATATTCAAATATCATGCATCATCAAGAAATCATTTGCAGCACCCTTCATTAACCATTTTTTCTTCAAAAAAAATATCTGCAAGTGGTAACTGTGAAATGTTATCATCTCTTTTGCAAGCAATGCATCCAAGAAACTTAAAAATCCTGAAGATACACTCTTTAAAATGTTCTGTATCAGTTCGCCAAATGATACACAAAATTATATATGCGTATTAGTTACATGAAGATACACTTTTCTGAAGTGTTCTGTCAGTTCTCTGTATTTTCTTAGTCTCTCTCACTTTTGTGCACTAGGTGTTGATATACTTGGTGACGTAGGAGAGTTTGGCTTAGTATTGAATTATCTTTATAAAATTATAATAAAAACAACAATATTTTTTTTAAAAAATTATACTTTATTTATGTGTTTGTAAATTGGTTGTATTTGACTTTGTTTATTTTATGTATTATACTTTTAGCCTCGTCTGCATTTTCAAATGGAGGTTGTGGTTGTGGGATCAGATCGCCTTTGGCCAGAGCGACGCCGGGTTGTTAAGATGTAAAACATACATATGGTGTTAGTACGTTATATCACACATAACTACTTATGGTCCACAATCGTTCTCTGAATGTTATTTAAGATATTGCTCGGTGATGAGAAAGGTGGCATCTTTATGGAGAAACTAGAGGTGGGTATATATATATTTTAATTTATTTTTTAAATTTTAAATTTTTATATTTAAGTTTTTTTGTAATCATATTTATGTTTAATATTAATTTAATTTGATAGAATAGTCTCTTAAATAAATGAAATACATAGTTGGACACAATATTTTTCAATAGATTATATTTCTGTTTAAGTAGAATAGATAGTGTGGTTTTTAAGTATATGACAATAGTTTCTTTTTTATGTGTTGCCTTCATATATGCGCCTTCGTTTTATGATATGGGGACGAGACAAAGACATCACAAATAGGACAAGAAGAGGGAGATAAGAAAGAGACTTTCCGATCATAGGGGTTCCGACTTGTGACTTGTGATTGGTGTATGTATGTATATTTTTCTGTTTACTTATTTTTCCAGAAATCTACAAGAATTATGTGAAAATTTGATCATTAATTGGTTAGTTTTAATGAAGGTTTTTGAACAAAATCTTATATATATACACTATTAAAAGCTCTAAATAAGAGCATATGAAGGGTGCCAGATTATGGCCCATGTTTTGTTAAGTCAAGTTGCAGGCCTTCTGTATTTACGCTGATATGGTTACGTCAAGCCCACTTCAGATACTCTAATGACCACAGAATTTTTTTTTTTTTTTTACCACAGAATCTTCTATCTAATTATCCGTCAACTTCATCTTTCCTTTTCAGGCAATCTCCTTTACCATCACCGAGCCTCCTCTGCTATTAATATCTTTATTCACTTTTTAATGAATTCGTTTCACCTCCTCTTTTTCTCCTTCTTAATAAACCGCTTGGTTTCTCCCCTGTCTCCACCGGCAAGTCTCCCACCAGTGAGAAGAAAGTCTCCCACCAGTGAGAAGAAAGAGAAAAGTATTCTATGAACCCTTTCTTTACCCTTTCATGAACGAATCCACTCCCGAAAAGGTTAAAGATATNTCACTTTTTAATGAATTCGTTTCACCTCCTCTTTTTCTCCTTCTTAATAAACCGCTTGGTTTCTCCCCTGTCTCCACCGGCAAGTCTCCCACCAGTGAGAAGAAAGTCTCCCACCAGTGAGAAGAAAGAGAAAAGTATTCTATGAACCCTTTCTTTACCCTTTCATGAACGAATCCACTCCCGAAAAGGTTAAAGATATGTGCTTTGTTCATGTGTTCTAGAAAGCTTCAAATATCTGATCTATGTTATAATTTATTTATCATCTTTGATTCTGATTGTGATCTTTTTTTGGTTTCAGCACAACGCTTTCCATGATTCATCACATATCTGAATATGCTATGGGAGAAGAAGAAGATCTATTCAAAGCTCTTGAAGAGGCAGTCTTAGTCATTGATCCACTCTAAGCTTCTTTAACAATGATCTCTCGCGGCAAAGACTATTCACAAGAGATTTTTCAGCTTATTGATCGTGATATCTTGGTAATTACAACAGATTCTTGACATAGCCTTTTATGAATAGGAGCAAGATCTCATGATGAAATTAGCTACGGAATCTCTCTGTAGGTATTTTAGACATCAAGAACATCGTTTACATGACAACGACAGCAACCAGCCAGAGCCAGGAAATGCAGAAGAGCATAAGCCAAGCGAACTCGAGCTCTATGGAGTGGTCGCTTTCACAGCAATATGATGTTGTCATTCAGAACCCTGATCTTGCTCAGTTCGATAGGTTTGTTGTTAATTGTACTTGA